ATGCTGGGAGTTGGTAGTTCCTACTCCAAACGAAGAGAGAGAGAGAGAGAGAGAGACACACACACACACACACACACCCCCCTTTGTTTTATTCTAGAGAGCAGCTCGATCCATCCAAGCTTGCTAGTCCTTTTCAGTAAGCCAGGGTGTTCCAAGCTACTTCTCTCACCTTCTTCAGGCTTTGTAGCAAATACGGAGCTCGATTCCCAAAGGGCAGATTCCCTGTACACGCCATACTGAGGCAGTCTCCAGCAACGCAAACCCTAAACACTCACGAGTCTGGCCTTAAAACCCAGGAGAAGATCTTAAAAATCTCGAGATCTGTTTTTAATGTATATACATATGTGGGGGGTGGTATTTTTATTTGCCTTCTGATGTCTGAACCTTTATGGGGCACTTGGGGACAAGTTTTTTTCCACAATCAGGAGAGCTGACTTTCAATTGCTTATTTTAATGAAAGTTAAGATTCTTCTGTAATGCCAAAAGTCTGGGCGCTGGGGTTTTAAGGGAAAAAGCAAATATCATGAAACTCACAATAAAATCAGCAATGTGGGGTCTCTCTCTTCCACATATAGAAACTCTGGAATATTTGTTGGCCTGCCTTAAAGTAACCAGGAAGGCTGCTTGGCAAACAAACCTTACTCAGCTTTTCCCTCCTCTCCCCCCAAAAAACCCACACACCCTTTGTGTTGTTGAAATTTGCAGATTTCAGATTTTCTCCCTGAAATGTTTTGACAAAAATAGATGTTTTTGGAAGGGGGGGGGGGGAGAGAATGGGATTTTCATTTAGTCACAAAGCCATTTTTTTTGCTGGAAAAACACTGTTCTGAAAAACCTTCCACCAGCTTCAGGAACTTTCATAGGAAAGTCTGAGTGGTCCAGAGCAGCAGGAGAGCAAATGGCGAAACACAAATTGTTTTAGCATTGCAAGTTCTAAGGTGCTGCCTGCAACCCCATTGCTTAGCTCCTGGTAGGCTTTACTTGCACCTTAGAGGGAAATTTACTCTGTTTCCATCCAGTGGCACTGAGACTTCTCCCACCAGCACTGGTTTCACCCTGGTGTAACCACACAGACATTGATGCGGTCACTCCTAATTTACCTGGCTGCCAAGGGACAGGAGAACCAGGCTCAATGCCATTGGGTGGGTTAAAGGGCCCGATCCTTAGCAGGCATAAATCCTCTAGCTCTTTTTACACCAGCCGAGGATCTGGTCCCAAACATTTTGCAAACCCAGCTGTTGTTTAGATCGTCCCATCCAGTTTTGGCCAGGGGCAAGACGAGAGAGGGTGCTTGGCAGGAGTAGCACAATGCATCCTGGGAGGTGGGGGAGGATGTGACTGTGAGATGCTTAGGCGGATACCCCCCAAAGCTCCTATTTCTCCATTCTGGCCCGCTTCCGCAGGCGGTGGTGCCAAGTCTGAGCCCTCCCCCACACCTTCCCACCCCAAGCTCTGAGGCCTACGGGGCTCCCAGAAGAGGCCTGCCAGGCCTGACTCCTGATACCTGTGGGAGCGTTGGCATCAACAATTGTCATACACATGCTGTGTGACACACACACTGAGGTGGGCAGGGGGAGATAAGCCATCAAAACCACACCATCTTGTTTAAAAAAACAGGATTTTTCAGGATCTGACTCATATGTTTTTTGATCTCTTGAGGTTGGTAATACTGCCCCCTCTCCCTCCCTGCATGCACAGTGCCCCCTGATGGCTGCCACAGACCCTAATGCCAGGCCTGCCTGGCACTGACTGGTCACTGACTGACTGGTCACTAGGTGTGACACACCCCATAATAGTGATCTTGTGGCCTGGAAGGATCCCCACAGACACACTCACAGCTGGGACCTGCCCCCAAGAGTCCTGCACGGCCCCAGCCACTGCTTCATTCCCAGACACGGGGCAGGGCCACCCATACAGGGGCCAGGGGATTCCAAGACCAGGGCTGAGCCATTTTCTGTACCCAGCACATGGCCCTTCCTCCCCTCCCCTTGTGGGCACCTTCTGCTAGTCCTGATGTCTCTGGTGCTAAGTAGGGAGTGGGCCTCACCTGAGGATCACGGGATCCACCAGCAACATGGGGCTGGGCTGGGTCTCCCCTGACAGTGTCTCTCTCTCAGCAGCCAGGTTGCTCAGCTGCCCTGGCACTGACGCTGCCCAGCCCGAGGTGCCAGATTCCCAACCCCCCCAGTACAGATGGGCACTGGCCTGATCCCTACCAGTCAGGGCCCTGTCTCTCTCCCTCCCCATTCGATCACTCCCGATTAATCAGCTTGTCTCACTCAGTGCCCACAGTCCCCCAGTGCATTCTGTCTCCCCTGCTCCTCTGACCCAGCCCCTGACTGCGAAAGATTCCCCACTCTCCCACAATGCGGTATTATAAACTCCCTGCCCACCTTGGGCCCCTTTGCCCCCCATGGCCTCTCCACTCAGTTCCCTTCTGGGAGAGTTTATTGCCTGAAGTGCCACCCACATGCTCCGAGGGCTCTGGACAATCAGAGCCCTGCACTCTGGGGGGAGGGGCGGTGGCCCCAGGACAGGGTCACACACTGCACACTGGGGCACGGGGATCCCTCAGTCCATGTGTCACTCCCACCCTGGTGGCTGGCTTCACAGCACTGTCTCTGGGTCTCTCTGCGCCCCCCGAAGGCCAGGCACGGTGAATCTCGCGTCCCAGATTGCCCCCGTCTCACTGGGACCTGCAGGCGCTGGATCCCTCCCTCAGTCGTAGAAGTCGTCTTGGTCGTCCGGGCTCTGGTCCTTCCTCAGTGACGTTTCCAGGCCTGCTCCCAGCTCCTCTGAGTCACCCCAGAACCCTGTGCAGGTAAAGTGGGGTAAGCAGGTGTGGCCAGGAATCCTGGGTTCTATTCCCACCTCTGGAGGACACACAGATCTAGTGGTCTTAGGCAGGGGGGGCTGGGAGCCAGGACTCGTTGGGTTCTATTCCCAGCTCTGTATTAACCTGTCTCTCTCCGTGGACACCTCCTCACCTGTGACACTGCTTGCTGCAGGCCCCCGCGGCGGTGTCCTGGGGGAGGAAGCACAAACACAGACGGGTCAGGGAACTCCCAGCTGGGGGCACCTCGACCTGCCCCAAGGGGACCATTCTGAAAGCAGATGGATCCCAGCCTCCATGGCCCATCCAGCCGCTTCCCTCTGGCCCAGGGAGGGGCCTGTGCTATACCAAGGACCACGGAAATGAGGCCAACCTGCCTCCCCCTTTGGGGGCTGCCTGCTCCCCACCCCCTCCACAGCGAAGGCCACCCCATGACAGGTCCTCGTGCCCTGGCCCTTTAAATGAGACAAATACCCTAACCACATGGTTCCCCCTTTCACCCAGTTCATGAATCAATTGCTTCCCCTTCCCAAGCAGACAGCAAATTCACATGGGGTTAATTAGTGCTCCTGGGTGGGGGTGGGGGTGTGAGTCTGCCCCCCTAGGGACTGGGTGGAGACCTGGCAAACTTATCTCATGCATAGGAGGATTCAGACAGAAGCCATTGCCCCCTAGAGGGGAAAGGCTCCAGATCCCATTCCCTGCCCCTGAGGCAGCCAGTCTCCCCCACTGTGATAGAGGAGTGCACCCCTGTATTCAGACCCTACACACTTGCACTAATATTTGTACATGGATTGCCATGTGAGGTATCATTTGAATACTCATAGCTTGCTGATCAGTAATATCAGGGTAAAATGCATGCAGTAACTTTGTGTTCAGTTATGAAGATAAGCTGAAATCATGGCTGAAGTGTGTTCCCAGATAAGTCTGGGGAGCGGCTAAAACAATTTCTCAAAGACAAAGGCTATGGGTACGCTACAGCTTGTGTCGGCATAACTTATGTCACTCAGAGGGTCGCTCAGCTTCTCCTGCAGACACAGCTACTGCCGCTCGGGCTACATTGGAGAGCTTACAGCCATCGTTGGAGCTGCACTGCTGTGAACTCTCTAGTGTAGCCATGGCCAAAGTGCAAGCCAATGCCCCAGCCAGGCGTCAACAAGGCTGATGGGTTATCACAGGAAAGGGAGACAGGGACAAAGAGATCTGCATCTTAAGAAACAGCCTCAGGTCTCCTTCCTCCACCAGCCTCCCTGTCTCTTGGTTCGCAGCTGGAAATGCTTTTCAAAGCAGGACTGAAACTATAAAAGGAGGGGCAACCCACCTCCCCAACACCACCCTCCCTGCCTATCTCATTCTCCACCTCTGAGAAGACAAAGGAAACAGCTATTGGATACTGGGGGAAATGTTGGCAACCCTCCAAGGGGTCCTGACCGGAAGAGTTCGGTCAGTAATGCTGTGGGAAGCAGGTGGTGAGAAACTTTGCTTTCTATAGCTGGTTAAGTCGGCACTAGAAAGCATTTTATCTTTATTTTTCTTGTAACCATTTCTGACTCTTATGCCTCATTGCTCATACTCACTTGAAATCTCTTTGTAGTCAGGGCCGGCTCCAGGCACCAGGCAACCAAGCACATGCTTGGGGCGGCACCTGGTAAGGGGCGGCCAATGTTGGGGTGGTGGGGGGCAGCGCGGCGTGGCATTCTGCGGGGGGGGCTTCCGGTGGCGCGACACGTGGCGGGGAGGCGGCGCAGGGCGCGGCGCTTGGGGGGGGGGTGGCGCGGGGGCGTGGCGCTCGGGGGGGGTTCCGGCAGCGCGGCGCTCAGGGGGGGGGACGGGCTCGAGCGGCGCAGTGCTCGGTGGGTGGGCGGCGCAAGGCGCGGCGCTCGGGGGGGCGTTCCGGCGCGCGGTGCTCGGTGGGGGGGGCTTGGCGGGGGGCGGCGCTTTTTTTTGCTGCTTGGGGCAGCAAAAAAGTTAGAGCCGGCCCTGTTTGTAGTTAATAAACGTGTTTTATTGTTTTATCTAATCCAGTGTGGTTAAGTTAAAGTGTCTGGGTAACGCCATACAGGATGGCAAGTTGTGTGTATATTACTCCCATAAAGAAATAATGGCCTTAATGTATTTGGACTGTCCAGGAAAGGGCTGGGCGGTACAGGACATACATTTTGTGGCGGGGGAGGAAATCTGGGACTGGGAGTATGTTGGGGTCACCCGGCAGAGGTAACTGAGGCGGGTAAAAGCCAGAGTGCAACCCAAGCATGGCTGGCAGGCTGCAGTTACACACAGACAGTCCGGGCATGAGCTGCATGCTGGAAAGCTGTTTGTGAGCAGCCCAGATGGGAGCCGCTGCAGCAACGTATTGTAAGAGACCCAAGGTTGCCTGGCAACCCCTCACTGGTCTGGACTGCTCCCCAGTATGTCGCACCCACCCTGGGGCCAGACCAGAGCAGGTGCCCTCTAGAAGGGAAAGGCCCCATGTCCCATCACCAACCATGGAACTGGATTCCCTGGAAAGACTCCAGCTCCTCCTTCTGAGAGGAGGGAAGAGCTGGACCGGACTTTGTCTACAGAACCTGCCCTGTCTTTTGCCCATTGTACCTTGGCCACTGGGTGGTGCTGGCGGGCGGCGCCTCAACCACCTTGACTTTCCTTGACCCTTCCTCCAAGTGAGGGCTCCTCTGGCTGCCTCTCCTCCACTCATGGCTCTCCGACGATCTCCTCTTCACCCTGCAAAGGGCAGACCATGGCGGGGGCTCAGCAGCCAGCTCCTGCCACGAGCCTAGCCAGCTACTCTGCCCTATTCAGGTGCTGATCCCACACCCGTCACCGCGGTATCAGGGCTGCTCCCAGCTGTGCACCGAGGTTGGTACCCATGCGATGCATTCCCTCTCCTCCCCTCCCCTCCCCGGAATGTGTGTGCAGTTGCCTCCTGGATTGGTCTGGTGGAGTGTGGTGTAAATGCCATCCTGCTCTGCGTTTATATCAGAGCAGGCTGACGATGCTTAGTCCCTTGGGGGGCAACTTGTTCCATAGTCCCCCATTATTTATCCACTCAGTGCCAAGGGCAGAACCCTGGAGTCCACCTGCTCTAACCCACCAGACCCCACTCCCCTACTAGAGCTGGGGACAGAACCCAGGAGCCCTGGCTCCCAGCCCCGTGCTCTAACCACTAGACCCCTTTTCTTGTACTGTACTAGCAATCATGTTTAGCTAAGCTGGGGGCAGGGTTGGCCTGGCGTTGCTCACCCTGCAGAGACCTCCCCTGTGGTGGATGCCTGCTGCAAATTCACACTGAGGGGCCTCCCCAGGGACTATAGGCCATACAGGGCCTCTGACACATGGGGGAGCATGAGCCAGATTGCACACCCAGTCTGCAGCCACAGGCATCTCCCCTGGCAGAGAAATCTGTATCACTGCCGTTCAGCCTTGGTCGAGTAGAGGGCACTCTGGGATCAGGGTGTTTTCATTAGCCTGGGCTGGGAAAGGGAAGGAAATTCTCTGCCTCTGCTCCAGCCTCTTTATACCTGAGTGTAACCTGTCACATTGACTGCAAGGGGAGAGTGCTCCCTACTGAGTCCCCACCCCACTCCCCGCAGCATAGCGCCCCCTAGGGTTCAGCACTGACTGCAAGGGGAGAGCACCCTCTGGAGCACCTGTCCTGCTCCCTGCAGCACTGTGCCCCCTAGTGCCACACTCAGACATGGGGAACACAGGATTCATGGCCGATCCCCACCTTGGTTCTGTTGCGTTTCCTTGGGGAGCCAAAACAGCTTCTATGTCTTCATCCCCTTCACTCTCTGCTTCCTCCTCCTCCTCCTCCTCCTCCTCCCAGGTTGAAAGCTGTCCTAGATCTGTAGAAGGAGATGCAGAAGCTGAAATTCTCGGGTGGGGTGGCAGGGGCTGGGCAGGGGGCAGCGTTAGGACAAAGGATGGGGCAGGGGAGAATATAAGGCTGAGGGACCTTAGATCTGATCCAGGGGAAATACCAGGCTGGCTGGGCCCAGGGTAGGTTTGCCAGGCGTCCAGTTTTCAATCGCAACTCCCAGTTGAAAAGAGATCCTGGCAGCTCTGGTCAGCACTGACCGGGCCATTAAAAATCCAGTCAGTGGCGCAGCGGGGCTAAGGCAGGCTCCCTGTCTGCCCTGGCTCTGTGCAGCTCCTGGAAGCAGCCAGCATTTCCCTCTGGTTCCTAGGTGGAGGCGCAACTACGGGGGCTCCGCGCGCTGCCCCTGCCCTGAGTGCCAGCTCTGCAGCTCCCATTGACCAGGAACAGCGGCCAATGGGAGTTGGGGGCGGGGAGGGTGTGTGCCTGCAGACAGGGGCAGCATGCAGAGCCCCTGGCCACGCCTCTGCCTAGGAGCTGGAGAAAAATGCTGGCCACTTCCAGGAGCCACCTGAGGTAAGTGCTGCCCAGAGCCTGCATCTCGCATACCCTGCACACCCCAATCCCGTGCCCCAGCCCTGAGCCCCCTCCCGCACCTAATCTCCCTCCTGAAGCCCGCACCTCGAACCCTCTCCTGCACCCCAAACCCCTGCCCCAGCCCTGAGCCCTCTCCTGTACCCCAGCCCCTTGCTCATCTCGGTGAAAATGAGCAAGTGAGCGAGGATGGGGGCAAGTGAGCGATGGGGGGAATGGAGTGAGCAGGGGCGGGGCCTCGGAGAAGGGGCGGGGCAGGGACGGGGAAAGGGTGTTTGGTTTTCTGCAATCGGAATGTGGGCAACCCTAGCCCAGGGGTCGAACCCTAGCAGGAGGGGGGATACCAGGCTGGCTGGGCCCAGGGGTCGGACCTAGGGGGGATACCAGGCTGGCTGGGCCCAGGGATCGGACCGAGGGGGGATACCAGGTTGGATAAGCCATTGGGTCTGACTGGTGGTGGCTGGGCTGGAATTCTGGTCTGGATGGGCCGTGGGTCTAACTCAGGGATGCCGAGTTGGGGGATACCAGCCTCCTCACTCACCCTGTGGGGACTCTGGGGTGTGGCTGTTCCAAGTAGGGGTCTCTCTGCCACGGCCCCTAAAATGAGATGGGGAGATAGGTTAAATAAATAAATAAAATAAATAAATAAATAAATAAA